TGAAAGACCAGAGGCTTTACCACTGACCCTACAGGGCACAGGGTTTTCTATCCAGCACTCCACCAACCCCTCCTCTCACCACTGTCTCTTCTAATCTGCCCTCAAGGCAGGCATGCTAATGAAATTCCTCTAATATATCAGTAATTACTGAACCAAATATAAAAATGTATCTTCCCTCATTAGAAACCAAAGATGATTAATCCTCCAATAAAAAATATTTTCAAATACTGTGACTAAAAATCAAGTTTCAGAAACAGAAAACAAATGTAAACCAGAGAGAGGCTGGGCTATAGCTGATTTTCCTATATAGCTTTTCCTGAAGTTTCTAAGGTTGCTAAGGTACTACCAGTATTATCTTCCACTAGGTCTTTGTCATTTGAAATTTTATATTTTTAACCCCTGTACAAGTCTCCTTCATGCCTTTACCTTCACCTTTCCTTCTGGAATGAGCAGGTGGGGAATGTAGGTGAGATTCTCCACACATATAAAACCCCAGACCTTCAGTTACCCCAATGGAGCACTCCTACCTTCCAACCACTTACATTCTGGCCAGGTGAACACAAGTACTTTATTTAGAAATCAACAGTTTTTAGGCTGTGTCCTACCAGATAATGTAGACTCTTCTACAAATGCAGAAAATTTCACTGCCTAGAGGAGCCAGAAAATCAGAGGTCTGATTTTCAAAGTTTATTTGCAAATTATATGCTCAAATACCTGATTTCCTCAATCAAAGTAATGTTTTTGTTGAAATGGTTTGCATTTTAGTGTTCTACCATCAGCCTTGAAACATCAGAAAACCTCCAGGCTGAGAAAGTTATTTTCAGGATTTTATAAATGATTTTTAGAACTGAAGATGGAGTGAGTGGAAGGAAACTCATTCCTTAAAGTTCATCACTCTCACCAAGCATGATTAAACACTATACAATTTAATATTGCTTGCTGATAGAAAATCAAAGCATTTTCCCCCAGCATGCTGACATTTACAGCAGTGGGGAACATTTGCATGTTTTATGCTTACAATAACAGATGAGGTATGAAATTGATTCCGATAATGCTTTGAACACCATGGATGTCTTGTCATTTATCACAGCATATGAGCTTGTTTCAGATCCCTACCATTACTGTGATATTTTCTACAAACTAGAGGTAAAGAAAAACTTTATTTTGATGATAGACAATCTTCAAAACTCCAGTAAGCAGGTTCTCCTCAAGCATGCTCCACTGTAAGGCTAATCTCCTTTCTCACAGGGTTTGAGTTTGGTTTTCTTGTTAATAAAGACTTGAATAGACAAATAGGTGGCATGGATTGTCTTTCTCCCCTGAGACACTGGGCTGTTGTTTGTATCTGTGAAAACATATCACAAATAACAAATTAAGTAATCTCAAGAAACTGCAAATAATTTTAAATTTTAAAGAATGCAAGTCAAATCCACGTGTGGTGCCAGAACATTCCTTTTAAATAACCTGCCTTCAAAATCAAGTATTAGGGACGGAAAATGTTTATTTGGTGCAGTGCTTGTACTGCATTATTGAAGAGCGTTGGAGAGTTGGGCTCCTATTGGCTCTAAATTTTAACTTTGGGTTTTTTTATCTAAGAACTACTAGCTTCAAGCACAATTGTCTCTTTGATGTCTGTGTACTATATTCCCTTCCTACCATGATATTGAAGACTATGAAATTGACCAAAGGATCTTAAGAACAGATTTCCAGTATATATATGTTTAAAATTTTTTCAGAGATACAATTTGAATCTTTACAGCATTACCTCCTCTAAAAACATGATTAAAACCATGTTCATTTAAGCTACTGCAAGAGTGTGGCCATTCTTCACAGTCCTCTGCACTTAACCAAGAACATGCATGAATGTGCACTTAACTTGTTCTACTCATAAAGCATGTTAGATGGACACTTAAAGCCCTTAATGACATCTGAACAATGATGGAAAGCAGTTGAAGAATTTGTTTGGAAAACACTAGAAAGTCTTGGATGTTCATGTACTTCCTTTATCATTACAATGCACTCTTGGTCTTGATACTGATACTCCACCTCCCATTCCATCCCATGTACACAGGAACAGGATGAAGAGTCTCCTCTGCTCTTCAGATCTTGACTTAGACAATGAAATTACTGGCCACGAGCTGCCTAAACATTGTGAAAGAGCTTGTGCTTATTTGTCTTTCCTGGCAAAAATCCTCAGAATTAAAGTATCAACAAAACAAGATAGACACTAATAAAACTCCAGTGGAAGCCAGCTGATTTCAAATGAGCTCGACTGATGTGCCTGCACTCTATTGATTTCTGTTTATCCTTTTAAAACCAAGAAATGTCTAGAAGTTATGATCTGTTTGAGGTTAAATAGAAAAATGTTAGTAAAATGGAGGAATACAAGCATACAAATGGCACAAACCATCTCTTCTTCCATTGTATTATCTAATTATTGGAAATATTTTTACTGCTTCCTCTCCCAGTTCCATTAAAATTTTGTCTCAGCTTTATGATGTTGTACAGTAATGGGTACAAGAAAACAGCAGCATGACATAGGTTCTGTGAAGGTCAAAATTTAGTCTCTCTGAGCCATAACTTGACCCTTGTGTCATTTATGTTAATAATTTATAGAGCTCTGCTCTCCTGCTGGAGAACTCAATAAGCACTAGTTCTCTGGGCACTAACATGGGAAGTACGGCTGGACGTGGATGCATACTTCAGTAGCTGCACTGGGAATGTGGGAGAATAACCGTTGCCTTCTATGCCTTCAGACAACAGATCCTCAGATGTTTTTTGAAAAATAATGATTCAGGCTCTATTCTGTCTCAATCATTTTCATGTAAATAAGCATAAACTGGTGTTACACTCAAGAGCGAGATAGCAGGTTCTGGTTGCAGTTATCTCATATACTGATAATTGCAGCAAGTTCCAGTCACTGGCAATGTCAAAAGTACTTTATAGCTCTTCAGTATTATTTGGTCATCTCTTTAAATCTCACCCTCTGTGATCATTATCTTCAAGAGCCTTTTGTCTCCACGTTTATATTTTTACTCATCAGTGCTGCTTACAAGTATCTAACCATGCCACATTGTGCCTGCAGTCACCTTACCCCTACGCTAATAGCTCAGACACAGCACCTCAAACTACAACCAAACAAATGAATTAAACATTGCAGCATCAGCCAACAAAGTCGGAAAGTATATGCAATTCATCTTCGGGAAAAGTTCACTGTGCTTCAGTAGAGAACCAATATCCACGGAGACATGTGAGACACGTAAGGAAAGAGAACAAACTGAATCCTTCCTCTCTCACATCTGAATAGTTCTGGGTTTTACACTGCACAGTTATTTCTGACTTGCAGCAGATAATCAGCAATAACTGTCAGAGACATTTCCAACTGGCTGTATTGAGAAAGACATGAAAAAAGTGTATACATGCTTGCACTTCCTGCATCTTGTGTTAAAAGAGCCTAGAATTTGCCTGTTTTGAGAAGACAAGGGATGGCTCTTCATTGACCATTGCAAGAAGCAGGAGATTGCATCTATTAGCTAACAGACTGGGCAGGTCAGTTCTTGCTCACCTCTGTGTGAGATACCACCTCTTCTTTTTCATGTAGGTAAAGCTTTGTATAGCTCCAAGCACTGTGCCATATGTAGTATCATTAAAATAACATCATAGACAAGAATAAAAAGAATGCAGTATTTTTTCACACATATCTCTATTAATTTTAATATTCTATTGTCCAAGCATATGAAATAGTGAATATCACCAGAGGATACATTAAAAATGAGACACCTATTCTGTTATGAAGCATTCACATTAGAATTAATGGAACATGGACCTTGACAGTATTATTAAATATGTCTTGAAGGAAATAAAGCTACCTTGGAAATCCAGTTAGGTCTAAATAACCCATTTAGTAAATACACTTCCCTACGTCCAAGGAAATTCCTTAGGAGAATGTCTGTCTTGCTGTAGGTTTGTTTTCACTCAAAAATAAAGGTTTTCTCTTGATCTTACATTCCCAAAGGTTGGATAGCGTCAGCTAATTTACCTCATGATCAAAGGGAAATAAGTGCCTATTTGACATTTTTTTTAACATGAGACAGTTCATGGTAAGTGCATAGCCAGGAGCAGAAGGAAGATCATATTGTTCTGCAGTTAATATGGAGCCAGAACTGAGGCAGCGTCTGCTTTGGAGAACAGCTAGCAGCACTGTCACCCAGGAGATGAGATATAGAAAGGGGAGATTAGTTTCTGTTTATTTCAGCTTTCTCTCTCCTCAAGATCAAGGAAAATGAAGGGGTGGTTTTCCTCTATGTCGCAAACTCTCCAGATAAATTCATCCATTGGACCATTTGTGGTAATCTACCACACAATAGAATTATCAGTTTGTATGTTTAGCTACAGAATTATTTAACACATCCATGCAAAATTGGATTATTTCTTTCTTTTAACCGACATAACTATTTTTGGTTACAGCCTATAAACTACTTAGAAAAGGACTCTTCCACTTCTTATATTCCCAGATACAGCAGGAAATACATTACTAAATAGCTTTTAGGGGTTATTTTGTTGGAGTTCCTATTTAATCCTGTTTTTTCTCCCTTTCTTAAAGGGATCCTCCCCTCTATGCTATTTCTGATCCTAAGCCAGGGCAAAATGCATGGTAGAACCATTTTGCAGAGACTGATGAGAAAACATGAGATTAATTCCTGGCTTTCAATTCAGGAGAGGCATACAATTTACATTCAATCCCTGAAGTCTTCCAGACTTGGCTAAACAACCTGTCTAACCCCTTGCACATTCAGATACATTTGCAATCTAGTTCTTCTGATAAGCGTTCCTACTATGCAGAGGAACGGCCTCCGGAAACGTGAGTTTGCTACTCATGGGTGACAGTAGGAAAAGCATTCCTTCACGTCTATTTTTGTCCTCTCAACAACAGAGCAAGGCATGATCTTATCACACTTATTTCTACGTAACACTTCACATATTAAGGAATTGACATTTTCTTTAAGTTCAAAGGAAATGGACCATTTAATGTAAAAAAAAGCTGCAAATGGTAAAGAATTTATCTTTAGTCTTGTTGCCCCAGGTTCATTCCCAGCTAGTGAGCAAACATTTGAGCAATCTCACTCTCCAATAACAGTAATTTCATCTATATCTAATTTCTTTCATTTTGTTCTTCAAGCAAAAAAAAACCTTACTGAATTGTTTAACTGCTGACAATTAATAATCTAACAAAAGGAGTTCTTACATAGGATCTTGCTCTGGCTACCAGAAATCCCAGTGGGAGATATGCTACTCAGTTTTGCCTGAGTTGTTTTAAGGTACGAACTTGAAGACTCTAGCTACAGCAATTATTATAACATACAGAAGTTAAATTAGCATTTGCTAAATAGGTTATTAGAAAGATCACAAATTGTCTTACATCGTATGTCGCAGCATATATAAAAAAAGGCTAAAAACCTATTAAATCAGAACCAGTGGTAGATTTACAAAAGTACAGATGGTTTGAATTTTAAACTAGGCAAGATTTCACTCCACATTGTAAAGAAAAGCTTGGGAAACGGTCTTCCTAGTCAACATTTCAATAAGAAATACCAAAGTCACCTTTCATTGCATTGCAATGAGTAGTTATGATGGTGACATCTTACCGTTTTCTTCTGCATATTTGTGCCCTAAGATACCAAAAGGGTTAACATATTATGCATATTTTGGTCATTTTACACCATATACTTACTGCAATGTGATTAGCAACCTTCATATATGGCTTGTCAAAATCTCCATCATTGAGATCCATCAACTGATGAATGCGACCAACTGTGTGGAGGAGCATGATTCATACTTGATTGAAAGCAGCAGCACCACATAATATAGGTTATTGAAATAAGAAACTGAATTTCTAGAGGAAAAATCAGGGACAGCTTTAGAATTCTAGGACATAAGTCCTTGAATGTAACTTGTTATATATGTCTACTTTTGTAGGTATGAAGAAGTAGACTCCACTTACCACCAAGTTGTCTTGGCAGTTCACATAGTTCAGTATTTGTATTCTTCATCTTCATAAGCTCATTTATCCTCTTCTTAACAATATCAGGTCAAACCACTATCTGCATAAAAATCCTAAGCTTACTCTTCAGGGAAAACAGGCTGTAGAGCTGATAATGTTGCATGCATAAAGTACATATATTAAAACCTGGAACATTATCTAATGTCTGTCCATTGTTGTTATTCTGCAAGTACCTTTAGTATCTGCAGATAATAATTTTTCATGCAGAATGATAATTTTTAAGTTACTGAGCTCTTTATAAGATTTTGATAGTAAAAATCTAGAGTGGGATGCATTGCTTTAAGACTTGGTTTAATAAAAAATGGATTCTCTATTAACTCAACAGCGTAATATCAACAACAACATTGAAACTAGTAGTCCCTATTAATATGATATGAAAATGTTTGTTGAAAGAAAGTAATTGTGCAATTCTCAGCAACTGCATGATGCTCATGTAATGTTCTTGTAACATGACCAAACTGAGAAAATCAAAAAGCCATGTAATGATAACCCAGACAATGATGCATTCAGTGAATGTTGCATATTGGAGTTGCTATTGCACTACTCCAGTCACCTCTCTCTCCATTTTTAGTGAGCACAATGCTTAAGCATAAACATTTTTATTTTCCCTGTTGAGTCCTTCTCCACATGGGCTGTGGGTTCCATTTCTGAATGTTTCTTCAGAGTGTCGCTGAACTCAATGACCGCTGGTGGCTTCCATAGTTAAAGTTGTTGGGATAATCTTTAGTCAGATTGCCACCATCCTGCCCAGGAGCTGTTTCCCTGCTGGGTACAAGGGGATGATGGCCAGAGGAATGCTCTGCTGAAAAATCAGTAGCAGCAGATTCTTCCTCTGCCCACCTATTAAAGAAGTAATAGCCTTCCTCACGTGTCTTTCTCCCGAGAATATCAGAGGCAGAAACTCTGTGATTTTCTGTGTCCCTGTGAGATAGGGCTGCTGCTGGATGTAGAAACGGTGACACACATAAGTGGTTGATGCTTTGGTGAAGGTCATCATTAGATGCAGGTGATGCCACAGGTGCACCAGAACTAGCTTCTTTCCTTGATCTTAGTTTCTGGATTTCAAGATCCTGCTGCCCCTTAGGAAGTTTATCTACTTGCTGTGCTTTCAGAATAAGAGATGCTCCAAAGGTTCCTCGTAGAGAAAAAATAAAGAACCTGATGAAGGAGGAAGGGAATGGATTTTTTTACCGGTGGGCTTATTCCATAATCAACATCACATATCACAAATACAGATACTAGTTTTCCATTGCTCTACAGACATCTGGTAGACACCTTATACTTGGCAGATGAAAGCTGACTCCTGGATCTCAACAGAGCATATTACTATATATTTAGCTTGAGCTGTATAGAGTCAACTATATGAATATACAATCTTTTTTTTTAGTATTTATAGGTACTTGTTTGCTGAACAGTGAAGAAAAATAGAAAAAAAATCTCAAGAGATACAATATTTGAAAATATGGAAGCTGTAATTATACTGCTAAAACAGGCTAAAGAAGAGCTCTTAATTTGCTAGATAGGAGAAAACCAGAAGTTAAAAACCTCAGCTTTTGGATTTTTTCAGAAAGCAGCAACAAAAGTGTCCTACCTGCCCTTTGCAGGACAGAGAACTTACGTAACTAAATATTGTGAGCTGGAGACAGCGTACATCCTCTCCCCATGTCATGTCAGCTTTGTGTGAAAATCAGTCTCTTTCAAAGCATCTTTTTGTTTGGATTTGACCTTTACATAGGTGGCTTCAACATGTATTTTAAAACAAACATGGATACTCTGTGAAATTGCATTTAGAAAGGTGCTATCCATCCTGCTGCTTAATGTATATATAAACAAGAATTAAAAGATTAAAAAGGCTAACAAGGGACACTCAGTACAGAAAGGGCTTTTTTTAAGGCAATCGATTTCATGGGCTTGCACAAGCCGGAGTGGATAAAATTAATCTGCTGTGCCTGTGCTCAGGCTGGTCTATCCCAACAGAATCTCAGATCTGGTCAGGAAGTTAAGAGCATGGGAGAGCCCAAGATTTGCTGTGTATCACAATGTTCTGTGTCTTTCCCCTCAGCTTGTTTTCTGTATCTTTTGTGCAAGTTCCAGGTAAACCAGACAGGAAGACAGAGAAGGGATGAGAAACCATGCCTCCCGTCCTGTAAACTGCTCTCACTTGCTCCTGCCCTTCTCACAGCCCTGCAGGGTATCAAGCCCAATTTCCTGTTGGGTCTCTGCAGGGTGTGAGACACAGTTACCTCTTGGGTCTCTGCAGGTGTCCGGGCAGAGCACAGTCTGCCCTCCACAGATAAGGAAATAATCATGTTCATATGCAGAAAACTCCAAGAAACACAGTGCCTCTTCTCTTGCCAATGAATAAACATGAAATTCAAACCCCTTTCTTCTTCTCAGACTTGAGGGCTTTTGTACTTAATGCTGTGTAGTTTGTGTCCCAAAACATAGTGCAGAGGCAGTTTTGAGATGCAGATGTGCAAAGCACTGCTAGATGGTGCTCCAGGGAAAGCCTGGAGCAGGCAGGGCACAGGCCAAGCCTCCCCCTGAGTGCTGTAGCTCAAACAAAAGGCAGTACTGAGGGGAAGAACCCAGGAGAGCAATTATTTTTAAAAAACCTGTTAGAAGGAAACCAGAATTTCAAGACACCAAGTGATGAGATAGGGGGCAGGCAGCACAGTGCAATGGACCATGGAATGGAACTTAAAATTAGTGCATTTTAGCTAAAGGGTGGTTTCATCTCTGCTGTGATCTGCTGGCACAACTTGGTTGTAATAGAAACAGGTCCTGGATATTCTGCAGATGAAGGACTGTGCAGAAAATAATCTAGGGTACCTAAACGAAGGAACAGCAATTTTCCAGATTTGAAGATATGAATATATAACTCTTAACCTCAGTAACCTGCTGAGGCAGCAAGGATCTTAACCATGAGTTTTCCTGATGGGAAAAGTAAAAGATATATAGTGACTGATTTTGGGGTTATATAACTGAATAAATGAATAATTCATGAACTGGAAGGTTGAACTCAGGCATCTAACTTCTATGCTGATCAATTATCCCTATGCAGCACGTGTCTGACACATTACATATCTGTACACATTGTTATTGTTTCTTCACTCACATGTTTACAAACCCACAAAAGGAAAACTGAGAGGAAAACATTCAAACCTTGGTAAGAGAGCAATGACAGGGGTAATAAGGCACAGTAAATAGAAGACGGGGTCTTTGAGCTGTCTCTCCATAATCCAGTAAGGGTTGGTGGGAGGGTTGCAAACCAGGCAGGCAGCGCTGTAGATTACGGAGAAGATGATGTATAAAGCCACACTGAAGATCATGGTCACCAGCTGCAGCACGGTCTGCAAGCACAAGTGATGCCTGTGAGACCCTGATTGGGTGTAAGACAAGAGGAGACAAAGACAGCTGAAAATAATGCATCTAACAGAGCATTTTGCTGAAATCTGCAGTAGGAGAAATAGCCAGAAATGAATTTAGAAAACAGCAGTGAATACCGTTCTCCAAGTAACACTTCCTCATATATTGAGGTATGCAAAGATTTTTGTACTGTCCTGTCCAAAGGCATGGTAGAAACAAATTCTGTCACTGTGGACATGAAGGTATTAACCTGGGGTTGATAACAAATTCTGGCACTTTGTGAAATCTTAGTGTACCTGTTTACTTACTTTTTGTGACCCAGAATTCAGGCAAATGACTCTGAAAGAGAATTCTATGCCTACAGAAGATGCAACATTCACAAAAAACAGTGCTGTGAACAGGACAGGTCAAGCACGTACCCATGTTTTCATTTCTAGAGCCAGGTGCAAGAGAATGGTCAGGAGGGAGACGGTGTTGATGGGGTTTCCAAAGGAAAACACGTCTATGTCAGAGTCTTTGTACATCTACAAAACAAGCAGAGAGGCTGTGGTGAGCCCTGACTATTCAGAACTTCTAAGGAGGACAGGAGAGTGAGAATATGAATAAGCCTGTTACTTACCAAATAGGGGACAAAGAAGCAGACGAGGCTTTGATAGAAGGCATCCAACATTGTAATAATAAAAGTTGACAAGTTGTATATCTGCAGGAGTTTATAGATAACAGTCAATATGATGGGATATACAGCTCTAGCCTGTCCTGCAAACATAATTGCTGTCTGCTTTTCTTCCATTCAGACTACTAATTATTGCTAACTGGTCTCCTTCCATGAGTAAATGCCTCCTGAGCAGCTGATTAAACCAAAGGCTTATCTCTAAATAGGCATTTTATCTGTGTTAAGTACAGAGAGACCTGAGGAATACTACCTAGTCAACTAAGAGTCTTAAGAGCTGAATTTTGCCAATGTTGCATTCCTTCACAAGGGATCTTATTCCTCAAATTCTTTATCCAAGCTATATCTAGAGTTATAAAGTTGGTCAAAAAATCCTTTCTTCTAAAGAAATACTTATTTTGTGCCATTTTAATTTGTCATATTTATACTTATCTAGTGACCTATGGTATCACAGCTCCCATGGACCAGAATGCAATACTGAAGAGACAGAAGATTGGGCTCCTGTTGTTTCAACGTTGCAGGTCAGTCTAAACTCTTTTCTTCCTTCCCTCATTTCTAAACAAAAAAACTGTGGTCCTTTGGATTATCAGGTGGTTATTTCAGCCATCATGACGCACCTCTGAATTTTGTCCATTCTTGTACAGCTCAGGCAGACGTAGGAGTGTTTCTGCAGAAACATCTTTATCAAGGGCTCCAAAGAGAAGAGGAGGCACAGAGGTGAAGAAGAGATTGAAAAAAATCATCTGCCAGTAATCTACCATGGTGCTGCCTGAGAATCCACAGAAGAACTGATACCAGAAGAGCAGGTTGACATAGCACTAGGGAGAAGCAAATACAAACACATAGTTCCACCTGTGACATTTAAGTAAGACACTGGTTATTAAGAGTCTCCTAAGAGGATTGGATTTTGGTTAAAGGCACTGCACTTCATTCCATAAAGCAATATAATTTAAGGATCCACTGTGATACAGCTTTTTAAAAGCCATTATGGTTTTTAAAGAACATATCAGAGAATAATTAAGTAAACTGTTCACAGGCCTAAGCACCAGATTTTAGAATTCTTTCAGAATCTAGTTGTCCAGATGGAATCAAAGGCATGCTGCTCCCTAATGCTACAGGGGAGATTAAAGAACAGCAGGGTCCTAGTCTGGAGAATTTATTTCACAGTGCAAATAAATAGCCTTTGAACTCTAAAAGGATGTCCAGTCAAAAAAAAGGAAGAGTTCATTCCCACTACAAATTTTAACAATGATAAGAAGTAATCCTGGATTAATTATTTTAATTATTAAAAATTATTAAAAACTCCACAAAAAACAGATACTTTGAATTCTAAATAAAAAGCCTTTTATGCTCAGTCTAGTTCATGTCAAATAGACTTGTTTGCCCAGTCTTGTAGAAACTGAATTACTTCATTTTTTTCCACTTTGTATCATACTTCAACACATAGCTCATTTGCATATGTATTAAATTTTTTTAAAAAAATGACAGATATGACTGTATCATTACTTGCAAGTGGTTCCTATAAAAATTCAGAGGTTTCACAGGTTTCACAGGTTTCACAGGTTTCACAGGTAGGCAATTCTTAGTGCACACTCATCTACATTTGAGTGCTAGTAATCTGATCTCCCTTATGCAAATTTTATTTTGAGGCTCATGGATATTATTAATAAAGTTTCTTGTGCTACCACATACAGTTACTAAGCTTCGAGTCCTTTTTCCCTTTGTAATAATGCTATTTCAAAATATATTTAGAGCCTGTATTTTCCTCAATGCTCTATGCAGCACCTTGCTAAGAAGGAAGTGTCATACTATAAATTTGCGAAGTGAAGAAACAAGAATTGTAGCTACATAAAATGTAAGAGTATAACCTGTAAAAACCAAAAACAAACAACCAAGAAAACCTCCAGACCTGGAATTAACCTTTGCGAGGATGAAAACTTCGTAATTTGAATCATCTTACCACATTTTTGTAGAAAAAGTAAATCACCATCTTTGCCAGGCGAGCATAGCACCAATGTCCATGGACAAGAAGGAGCTTTTTGAGATGCTTAAATCGGGTTATTGCAAAGTCACTGGCCATCACAGCCTTTGGGAAAAGGAATAGTAGGTCATTTACAATACATCCTTTTCACATGCTATTCAATGAAATTTGAACTTAGACATTGAAATAATTTCCTACTATTGAATATTATAGAAGAAACAAACCAACAAACTAACCTTCAAGAATGTAGTTGGAACTTTCTATCTCTGCAGAACCCTCCATTTAAGGAGAATAAGAAAGGGGGATATGCGGGAAAAGATTCAGGGCAGAAGACAGTGGAAGAGAATTCACAAAGCCTAGAAACCTGGAAATGCAGCAGCTGAGATTCAGAAACCAGATGCTCACCTAACACTGAGTTGACATCAGCTAAGTTTCCACTCTTATGAGCAAACACAGGTTTGTCCTCACTTCATAATTTGTGGCTCAAAATGCTCTTTTTTGGCTGGACCCATAATTACAAGCTGCATATTAATTTATGATACCAACTTGCATTTTTAAGATGACGAGAGTGTAGGGCTACTATGAAACTTATTAAGCCTCAAAAACAAAAGAGGAAAGAAACTGAGAGGATACCTGCATGCCTTCTTGGCCGGATATTCCAATTCCAACATCAGCTGCTTGAATCATACTTACGTCGTTTGCACCATCCCCTAGAATGGGAAGACAGGAAGGAATAATAACAGTGCAAGAAACAGTGCCTCCATCAGAAGAAGGAAATAATCTCAGCTATGCTGATTATCTCAAATATTCTGTACTACCATGCATCTTGATCAGGAGTACTGATGCATGACATCAAGGCTCTGGTCTTGATCTCTCCTTCCCAGGAGACCTGGCTCGACCAGGACAAAATCCACCATTGGGACTGGCTGGGTGGTGACACAGCAACCCCAATACCATTTACATCACCATCATTTTTTGTTTCTGTATGGCCAAATCCATATGCTCAGGAACATGCTTTGCAACACCCTATTTCACTGAATTCTCTGAATCTGTGACAAATTTGATTGCAGGTGACAATGTAAACAAGCCAGTTTCAAGAATTACTTTGCGCATTTCAATTTATAGCAATATGTTAAATATGTAACCAAATTTCTAGGGAAAGAACAGCCATGCTTACCGCTTGAAATTGTGGTTGTAAATTAGATAAACTGTAAATTAGGTTAGCTAGTAAAGTAAATGAAGCAGAAGGCTGAAAGCTTATAGTTTGAACTGCAGGGCAAAGTAATATTTCAAAAATACAATAGACTCTTCTGTTTCTGTTTTGTCCACAGAGGTGTATTTTAGTTTGGAGTCATCTAAATCAATTCATCAAGGATTTTAGTGGCATCACTTACCAAAAGTGTGGAGGAACCCCCAAAGCATTTCACATTATTTGGAGGTAAAAGGCAAATAAGTCAGTGCTTAATACTACTCTGGAGATAATTCTGTTTTCACCAGATGGGAAAATCTGACAGGAAAAGAGCTTTATGAAAAGATAAAATTGTGACTAAGCTTAATTGATTTCCAGGCGCAAAACAAGGACATTTTTGAGGTAATACTTATGTGTTTGTACTGATGTGCATAAAAGGGACTGCTGGGAGATTCTGAATTTGGAGTGCCTTCATCTTGTTTAAAGGGGGGCAGGTTTGCTTTGTGAAAGCTGAAGAGGGACTTTTATATGAGTGTTGATCAGGAAAGATAAATCAATGCTGTTTGCTTATTGCATCTATCTGAGGCACAAAAAAACTGCCCCATACAATATATTCCACACATTTCTCTTAAAGAAAGAGCCTATCTCTTGTGAAATCAAGAGTGGAGGTACCTATGGACAGGGTCATCACTTTAAGCTGTCTCCGGACGAGCTTGACCACCATGCTCTTCTGCAGAGGAGTGGAGCGGCAGCAGAGCACAGAGTGGCAGTGCTGTGTCAGCTCCAGGAACTTCTCCTCCAGCCCTCCCTGGAAGATGATGTTCAGTGTCTGTCCGTCAATCACCAACCCAAACTCAGGTCTGGGGGCCTCAGAGACTGAGAAAGATGTTGGGATGATGTCAAAAAATTTCCTTTGTGGTTTGTTGTACCCATAATTCTTCTTCACCTCTTCCAGGGTTAAATTCAAGAGAGATTCACAAGTTTCCTGTGAGAAAACAGACATGGTTCTAGAAATAGTTACCTCCATCTCCCTTTACAGCACAGTGCCTTGCCAAATGTACGTTTGTATAATCATGCCAGTGGGTTTAAGCCTGTCAGATAAACTTTAGGGGAGATTTACTGAAAAACGCACTGTTTCATCTGATTGGAGATTATTTCAATATGACACCATCCAATCCCTCAGTGAAAGGACTGCACATTTAATCAGCCAGTTAACTGAGGTGAGAAAGTATTCTAAAAGAAAATACAAAAATCTTTACATCAGAAAGGCATAGGTGCATTTATGTTGAGAGTTCAGAAATCAAAAAGAAAATATCTTCTTTTAAGGAGATCAAAAATACAGTTCTGGTATGAATGATGTGAGATATTGCAGCATTGGCTTCCACAAAATATAAACTGTGGTAAGAAAAACAAGAGGTCCAGATTTTCAAAATTATCCACTAACTTTCAGAGTTTGGCCTTTTCTTGTCACATATCAGGCATGTGTCACAATTAGGAACAGAAATAAAACTTCATATTTTCCAGCACTGTGCCTCAAACACAAAGTCCTTAGCAAATCTGCTTCATGTTGGATCAAGTATCCCCCTTTTAGATGCCAACACCTAGAACTGACTTGGTACTAGACAGAAACAGATTGAAGGGGAAAACTCTTACCTCTCTCATCCAGATGTCCTAAATTGGCCATCACTATCATAGAAAATCCAAAATGACATCAAAGTTATTTTGCTCCCTCTTAATACTCAATGTCCTCCTTCTGTGGCATGGCCCTAGAATATCTGAGGAGCTAATCACTCCTTTTTCTGCCTGCTTTAATGATGGTTCAGTTCAATAATGTTATTTTCACTTTATGTAGCATAAGGTACATGTGTAAGGTGTTTGCAAGATTTAAATTACACTGAAGTGAAAAGTACTGGAATCAAACGAATCTCTGACATCTAATAAAAACCTGCACCTAGCCTGCATACTTAAAACCCCTAAAAAATATTGAAGAAACATCGGCTTTCTGTGAACAAACTAGAAACAATAGTGGGAATTCCTGGTTTGCCTTGGCTCACCTTTTCAAACAAATCTACCAAGCTTCCTAATTATGTTGCATCTTCTTGGAAGATATTTAATTTTCAGTATTTGAATAATCTGCTGGCCTCAGGCGTAAGGAGAGGCTCTTCACTCTGATGCCACTTCAAGACATAAGTTTGGCACAATTAGCAGGTTAAATGCTTTGTATATATTACTTGTGTTCCTCACTGCTTCTATTGGGAGCCTCTTTCAGAAATTTGTCGTTGGTTTATAATTTTGAAAGTGAGGGAACTAAATCTTATTGTGGAGAAGCTCCAGTGACCCTGAACCATGAGGATTCCCACAAGTCCTCATGTGTATGCAGGTTGTTTCTGGATCCAGGGCCACAGAGGCTGCTGTGGGTAAGTGCCCATGCCAGCATTTCCGGAGCCAGGGTGGTCCCGCCTGTAGCATCTCCGCTCTGGCAGGAACCACCTTCTAATTTCCATCCCAAATGTATTCATTCTGCTTCCTGTTAAAGCAGATATGAGTTTCAAGTGATATTACGCATTGGAATGTTTTTTGTGCCAGATTCCATATCATCTTTGTGTGTTTCTCTATTTCCACAACACTAAAAGAGCCAGATATTTGCTTAGGATTTTTTCTTGCTTGGAGAGCTACTAGCTGCAGAAAAAAGCTGTTACAAAGTAGGCCATTTCACTACTCCATGCAATTGCCTACCATAAGGAAAATATTTTAACAATATTTACTTAACCCTCACAATAGCTTTATTGAGAAAAGCAAGCTTGTATTGGTAACCCTGGTTCTGTGGGGAAAAAAGTCGAGACAACCCAGATGAGTGACTCGTCTGGTCACACAAGGAAGCCCTGCCTGCCCTCCACAGCCTCGTGTCAGCCCTTGGAAGAGCTGAACTCACTGTGCCTCTTGTTCCTGCTGAGTGAGGGTCATGAGTGATGATGCAAAAAAAGGAGCAGGGAAAAGGCAGCAGCTGCTCTAAAGGCACCTCAGGGTTTCCAGGTCTCTCATCAGCAAGAAAATGCAAAAAGGGCATCAAAATGGCATTTTGGACTTTTTGTGTTTAGAAACGGTCAGGGCTGACCTTCCTTAGCAAATGGATCTGGTTTAACCATAATGCCTGGACATAGTATCCTCATAATCCATCCACTAGGCAACCTGCTCCACCCAGATGCCTGAAGGGATGAGGTGTGAGGCTGTGCATAAAGACGGCCAATTCACTTTCTGATATCAAGGCATGATTTTCCTGCTACGTTGCTTATATTGCTCCACATCCAGCAAAAGCCAAGTTGGCTTTTCTAAAACCTTTTACTTTCACTGTCCATAATGGCATTTACCCTCTTTGGAAGTTAGGACTCTATTTTCTCTCTTCTGTTCAGATGTCAGGAATAGCCATAGACTGCACTACAAATTGCTCACGGTGCTTTAGTGACTCACAAGAACTGACAGACCTGCTTTAGAAGTGATTATCCTTATTTTGGACTATGTTCCCTTTACCTACAGCCTCAGTCTGACCTTCTTGTTGCCCATGGAAACTGAGGGAATTTTTGAACACATCAGCAACTGTGTTTGCCACCATGGTGTGGAGATCTTGAAAGGCACTCCCACCCTGTTTCCCTGTTAGCCTCTATGCCCTAACCCCACCCTTGTGACACCCCCATGTCCCCTGGTAATTAGTCTCTGATACTTCTTTCCCCGCCCTGCTCATCCCATGTACCTAACCCAAAGCCCCAGACCAATGCCTTTGCCTCTGAACTCCGGGACTGTACACACATGTGGCTGAATTAAACATCTCTGTGAAACCCTTGCAAAGACCATCCTGTTTCTTCACCTGCTTTACCTCAACAAGAAACTCCAACCACAACATGTCAAGGAAGTGACTATGTTTTTAACTGGCCTCTGCTTAAACAAAGATATACTGGATTAAATTTTTTGATAATACATTTCTGGTTAAGGCTAATCCTACCAGGGAACATACAATTAGAAAGTTCTGAATTTACTTAAATCTACACCATCATACTTTTTCTTGGCTGACTCATACAGCGCTTTCCAAATTTCTTCTAAAATATATCACTAAAGGTTAAACTGAAATTTCCATTGTAAGGTGGAAATCCAGATATCCATGTTATTAAGGAATTAGGTACTTAAAATGCATATTAATTTATTCTTAAAGATACTAATTCAGGTAATACCTAGCAATTCAGGTAATTTTAAAAAACAATATTCTCATTTGGAAACATAAGCGTATTGTAATTGAATGAAGCCCTTCATTAGTGTCTTATATTTCAATTAATCCTGTTATGTGTTGTCTAAAGAGTTTCTGGCCTAATGCTGTTTGGGGGTTTTTGACTGTTCTTTGTTGAGTGATGTCTAAAGCAAAGGAATGCAAAATTGCAAAACACAAAGAAAGGGTGAGATAGCAAATTCTGTGCATTTTGTCTTTCTTTACTCACCTTATTTTCAGTGTTAATGGTGAAGACAGTGTCCCTTTGGTTCAGAAGTTTACAGGAGTATGCAATGTTAACTGCTGTCTCCTGTTTGTCTCCTGTCAACATCCAAATTTTTATCCCAGCTTCTCGGAGAGACACAATAGTGTCACGTACTCCATCTTGCAGGCGATCTTCAATCCCTGTTGCTCCTGGGCAAAAAGGAAAAGAAGAGAAATAATTTTCTTTTTCTTTGAAATCAAGTCGCTATTTTCTTGTTTAAAAAAAGCTCTTTGCTTTCCAATCACGGTGCTGAACATATTGAGAATTGAGTCAAAATTTTGTCCAACAAATAAACATGAAGGCACATGACTTGCATTTGGATTAAGGTCTGAATGTGTCAACAATCAAATTCTGTCTCTTCATTTTGCTCATTGCAAGAACAATGCATTTAATTTCTTCCTGATAATCCAAAATGACATTGTGCTGGCAAAGGAATCACACCGCATGCATTTTAAAAATACTGCATTAAGTCCCATCAAAGCAACCAGAAAAATGAACTTCGACTGTTTAAATGAATGCTGTCCCTGTTGTCAAGTCAGATGCTTCAGCCATCAAATGCAGAAGAAACTGTACAGTACATTTTCTTTTTGAACATGCACAAACTTAGAAGCAGATGCCAACACTCATCCTGATGATGTTGGGAGATCACCATCTAAATGTTACAATTCTCCTTATCCCTTCCACTAGAGGTCAATTTGAAGATGCTGTAACTGTGGTACGTTAAAGATAGATATTGATTTAGGCTAAGGAAAGACTTTTTAGAAAACTAAAATAATTAAAAGCATGAAAGTACACAGAGCCTTAGTAATTGGCAAAGGTAACAGATTCTGACAAGATCTACACTACCTCTTTTGTGGTCTGCTTATGGTATTTACCATTATTACTCTATTTTTTCAAATCCCTGAGGAGATTATGAGAAGCCATAATGCAAACTATTGCTTGCAATAGCAGAAATTCAACAAAGTATGGGTACAAATTGTAGTCAGAGAAAAATGAGACTGAGACAACTCCAAAAATCAAAGTCATAAAGAACAAACTTAAAGAACTGCTGCCCAAAATGCGTAAGAACTTGTATAAACACTGTAATTGGATTTTATCTCCCTAGCTTGGAGATTTCCAAACCACAGAGGAAGTCTTTTAGATACAAATTACTATAAGCTGTTGTCTGTCTTATTGCCAAGATTATCACAGGAGAGCAAATGATACTTCATGCAATGACAATTCCTATTTTTAGCTACCCAGCAGGGTGAATTTGGTCTCCAGATGCTGTGCTGTCTCTATTAACAGCTGCTCTCTGTTGTCAATCGCAGCTTCTGCCTCCTGACGAAAACTGGCCCATTTTTGAAAGTCATCTTCATTCAAGACCTGCATAACACAATTTAAACAGCGCTTATTTGAAATTTAAATAAAGAGAGGAATGCCAACATTCTGGATCACAGAGACTTAACTCCTATCAAAACTGGTAAAGAACTGTGTCATCTTTAAAATAACACAGACTTTTCTAAGAGAAAACTGCAAGAACTAGTAGCTGAGACTCAAAAATATGACACAAAGAAATTCTTGCTCACACAATTCTTGCTTGGCTGAGAGCACACAATTTCTAAGGGCTGATCTACATTTCTCCAGAGCTTGAATATGATCTATTTGTTGCACATTGACAACTTCTGTATGAAAGTATAACAGTAACTCAGGCCTCAGCCTGAGTTAGAGAGAGAAAGCTGAATGCCAAACAAAAGAGAAAAAGGTTGACTGCTCTGCAGACTCTTTGTTTCTTGCTTGGAAACACTGTAGAGTAGGTCAGCTAAAGTTACTATAAAAGAAACAGAAATAAATGTTTTAAGACTGACTAAAAATCCACCATTTGGTCACATTGAAGAAAAAGAGAAAAAAAATACTCCAGACAAGGCAAGTAGAGGGACAAAAAGATGGGCTATATATCTGGCTGGTTATCTGAAGCAGGATTATAACTGCTACATTTTTCTAGTAGTTCTACTGACATTTACAGAACCTGGTGCTGTCCCACCTTCTTAGCTATGCACAGAGTTCGCAGTCCATCACGGGCATAGTAGTCCAGATGCTTCTGTGTTCTTTCTTTTATTCTTTTCAGTCTCTTCTCTATGCTAATGTCACCTGTGAAACACAAGGAAAAGATTCCGTATTTTAAGCACAGATAATTTTCAATCTAATAGCCTAACATTAAAAAAAAGTAGGCATTAGAGAAAAATGTATTCGATTATAATATCAATTTCCTTAAAAGCTCAAAAGTGTTGGCTGTGCAGAAGTTGAAATATTGGTAAAAATCTTGTTTCCTTTAAGACAACATTACTTGTGTTTTTGTTTTATACTTTAAATTTTTAAGTAATTTAAGTTTTAATATTATAGCACTCTTCCTGACAACCTGAAAAACAATGGTCAGGCCCTTAGGACAGTATTATTGAAGAGTACACAATCCACATGGGTTAGTATTATCAGTGAATTTTTATTATCCCATTCCATATTCTAAGCACTTCTGAGGTTAAATAAACACCCTTAAATAAAGCACTTCTGAGGTTAAACAAAATCCATTCTGATCTGCAAGCCTAATACTAGACAAAGCACATTTTTTTTGTACTTCTAATACCTAGATATAATATTTCATGCAGAAAAAAGTACTGCAAACTTGTTAGGAGACACAACAGAAGTAGCTCCCTGGCTAATTACCTTCGGAAGAGTTGTCCAGCAGGTCCATTATTACAGAGTCAGCACCTTTTGTGTAGACAACAATCTCCTTGGTTAAAGGGTGTCTCACCACTACAGACATCCTTTTCCGGACTGAGTCAAATCCCAAAGTGTAGAGGATATCAAAGGTCAGAAGTGTGCCCTGTGGCAGCTGCACAGTGACCTGTTCAGGTGTCCGGGACACAAGAATGAAGCCATAGGCCCGGGCAGCATAGACAAGAGCTGCCTCATCTGGGCTCTCAGCCTCGTAACAAAAGTCTGTTGGCAGAGACTGGTTAGTCACAGGCCTAAAAACTTCATCCAAAGAAGCAATACCAATATCTGTGCTGCCCTTGTCCTGGAGTTCCTGGCCTCTACTGCTGGCAGAACAGTTGGTTTCATTGTCACAACTTTCCAGCACAGCAAGAGGCTCCTCAGTGTTCTTTGCACTGAGGCTGGCACGAAGGCATGAACTAGACTGAGATGATGAAAAAGACTGACTAAGGCTTGCTAATTTTAGCCTTTGAAATATCTGATTAATTCTCTCCAGGGTGATTCCTGCAGGTTTTATTGGTGGTGGGATAGTGACCTAGAAATATGAAATAAATAAAGGTTAAAAAGAAATAAATGTAAACTTCAACAGCTTTCTTAAAACCTCTCTCTACTTTTCTGCATCTAAATGACAGTAATAACAATGGAAACTTCCACTTTTCCCCTCTCCTGCCATTTGACTGTGGTGGAAGGACTCAATGGAGAAGCCATATGTGAGATGGCATCCAAAACTGATGGTGATTTGCATCTCTACCTCTGAAGCAAAGATGTAATGAAGTCCTTGTAGTTCTGTTAATTGTTTGGCAGATCAGAGAAAAACCAGTGTGTTCAAAAAACTTCTAACAGCATATATAATACAAAATCTATAAGAAAAAGTACAAATCCTGTGGTAGCCTTAGCTACTCATAAACATAAAAAGACAAGCTAGGAAGGGATATACAGGCAGTGAAGCAGTAGATATTACAGAAAATGTAAAGGAACTAGAGGACAACTCTCAAACAAACCATTTTTCACCACTTCAGTTTTCACTGGACACTACACTACGTTGTTAAATGGAAGCATGATCCATTTGCCTCATGCGTTTAAAGATTACCCTTTGTCTTGGCTCAGTTGTTGTGGAAACCAGAACTGTATTGCAAATGGCAAGAGCAAGAAAAAAGTCAGTAAAGGAAGTCTTCGTATGTATAAAAGGAGAAAAACTTTCAGTCTGGAGAGCAGCTTCTCGCACCCGCCTCAGCAGCCTGCTATCAGGACTCACGTCCTTTTCCTGGAAGAGAAATTACGTAGTGAAGATTATTTTCATTCACCATTGTCCGCAAGGAATAACTGGCAACTTCATAGACTTCTTGACTTTATACCTAGAAAATGGCTCTTATACTTAACATCTAGGAAAAAAAGATATCTTTCAAAAAGCTGCAACTAGATAATTAGAAGAAAATGCATCTCCAAAAGGAAGATGATGTCAGAATTTTACTTCTTTTGAGATCTACTAAAAAGCAGAAAAATCTGTACCCCTTAACTTTGAAACTGCTGACTCCTAAATTAAAGGGCATTCCAGAAGAATGTGTACTTGGGATCTCCCAGCTGAGTGTGGAAGCTGATAGTTATTTCAACAGAGAATGTTTTGTGCTTATGGTTTAGTTACAGTAGTACCACTTTTTGTTTCCAGATCAATTTCATTTTGCAGCTAGAAAGATAAGTGCTCTCAAACGTCTTCAATTTTTGCAATAACTAACTAACTAACTAACTAACTAACTAACTAACTAACTAACTAACTAACTAACTAACTAACTAACTAACTAAATGTTTACTTGTACCTGAAATGTTTCTGTAATTTTACTACCACTCTCTTTCTAATCTAACCTAATTTGCAAGCCAAACTACTTAACAATGCCACTTCCCTACAATTTAACTGGATGTAGAGCTATGGGAGTATTACTTTTAATAGAAATTTCATGTTAGCAGAATCTGGTTTGGGTTAAATTCAGGGCCATATTTAACAAGGAAATCCAAATTTAAAAGATGTCTTCCCATGAGCCAACAGTTTTGCATGCCTTCATTAAGGAACTGCCAAAGTTATTTAGCAGCTTTCTATTTCATCTCAGCTATTACCCTCACCTCATTCAATCTGGCACAGTTTTCCCAAGTTCTGTAAACATGCAACAGAATTCACCCAAGCACCTTTTTGGCTATACTGTACTGAGCCAAATGCTACATTCTGTCTCCTGCATGCTAAAGTGACAAACAGTTGCTTAAGTAATCCTAATAATTGCAAATAAATCTACCGCTTATTTGGCATCTCAACTGAAATCCAAAGCTGGAACAAGGCATTGCACTTTCTCTGCTGCAGAAAGCTCTGGTTCTTCCGGCTCAGTATTTTAATGCGTTTTTTCTTGACATACAGGGACATGTTTGCAGTATTGATGTGGTCCTTTCTCTAACAAACAAAAATGTTCTAAGAATAAGCCTGATTTTTTAGTTATTTTCTCAAGTCTCCTAAAAAGAATCAGAGGCTGAAAAGTTAAAGCTGCTGCTTTTAAGGAACCATTTCACTATATTGCACTGCAGTAGTTCCGTGGGTGATGGGACTATGCCAATACTATACTTTGTACATAGAACAATCCCAAACAGCTTAACAGGACAATTCCAAAGAAAAACACATATGTGCAGATAAAACTGTCCAAACAGGTATATCAAATAGTTATGTTGGGAATTCTATTAAATATAAAACATGAAAGATTAGAATCTCGCCAACACATTGCACAATTTTTAATTCAATTTCTTCATGCATTGCCACAATTAGAATAAACATCACAAACACCAAATTATTACATGTGTATCTCAGCCTCTCCTATCCGTCATCATCCCACTCAATTTCTTTTTCATCTATATCCTCAATGTCTGCTGCAAGTTCTTGTCAAAAAGAACAATGCACTACTGGGAATTTCACTTCAGCAGCAACTTTCTGAACTCAAAAGTTTCCCCTGGAAAAATTGAAAATTGTCAGGCTAATTGTGGCCTCAGAGACAGATTTTAAAAACAAAAAAAAAATCAATATTTAGCAGAAAAATATTTCTCATCTTCTTTTTCAGATTAAGTGAAAACAGCACTGAGCTGAATTTTCAGCCTGAACATATATTAAAACCCTTAACCAAGCAAAAAAGAAAACTGAATAAAACAGCACTAATGATGATGATCACTTAAATTTGCCTTTTCAATCTTAACAGTTCTGTTAGTGAAAATGATGATATAAAATGGGTAGTGCCATTCAGTTTTAAGGTTTCCTCATTAAGCTGATAGCATTTCTTCTACCTGATGGCATGAAAACCTGATGACTATGGGACCATGAAAATCTTCATTAAATGTTTCTAATAGCAAGGCACTACTTATTGGAACTATTAAATCTAGAAGGAAATGTACTGTCACTCTTAATTCATAAGAGCACCTAAAGTTAGAGAGTAAATGTTAATTTTCTATCATGTTACATTGTTGAAAGATGGATTTTTCTTACAAACCTCTGCCTGCTGACATACACACAGGTCTACAAACACACTCTGTGTGTACTAGTACTACTCAGGATGCTGCAGATTTGTAGCAGAGTAAAAATGCATCAGATGAGGTGATGTAAGTTCCAAAGCACAGGAATGATAGAGACACCAAAAAAAAAGTATTATTCCCATTTTATTAATAGGGAATTGGCTCTGGTGGCAAAGAAGGATACTATTATGTCTCATTTAAAGGTCATACAGGACTGGCTCTGTGCAATATCTAAATGTCTTTATTTTTAAAACAACTTCACAGTTGTCATAGGGTGTTAAAACAATTTACCTAGATAGAGTGACATCTATGAGCAGCTAAGTCTGTTTATTTCCATAACAGCAGCTTAATCTTCTTCTACCAAAGAGACATTTGATACTAGCTCCTCAGATATTGCTTTACAGTGAATTTAAAAAAATGTTTATTTATACAAGAAAATGAAAAGGCCTGGCAGTAAAAAAATGTAATCGGAAAATACACTGGCAAGAAATTTCTTTATCATCCATCAACAGCATGACCTATAAGAAGTTCTCAGAAGTCATGACTCATGGGTTCTCAAGAATCCACAGAGATGTTCTCAGCAACTCATGAAGTTTGGGCTGGACGATAGTAGGATAACAATTTACAGAACTCCCATATTCCAAGAACAGTAGGAGTTTTGAGTGGTACTTACTACATGACAGCATAATTGAATGAGGTAAGTAGGATCTTATAACAGCCGCAGCAAATAAAGTTCTGAGAATTCTACATTTATTAGACTCTTTGTTTTAAATCAAGACTTGGATGGGTTTTCCAGGCCTTTAATTTTAATTTGAATTCTAATTATGGAAGTGTATTACCTCCTTTTAATGCTCACAAAAGCCTTGTCTGAAACGTCTGTTAAAAAATTTTTCAAGAAGACCAGAACAGTCTGATTTAATTCGGCTGTGTGTGACTTTGGGAAGTTTCAGACCTAAATTGCAACAGATTCTGATCCTCCCTGACTGCAGCCTGCATGCTCCAATTGAGGATTCTGATTCTTTGTCTCCCCCTTCCCTCTCTTAACTCCAACAAGGCTTGGATTTCCCCTCTCTGCCTACTGGTTTTCCACCACAAAATGCAATAGAAAGGATAACTTAGAAGGTATTAGCTCAGTCTGCTGGTACTTACAATGGGGCTGCTGAAGGCCACTTGAGACTGGTTGCTGTCATGTTGACCAACTGACCTGTTCCTTGCGTGCCCCTGAAAATGCACGCGGTCACTCTGGCACCTCCTCAAAGATCTCAAGGTACTGTGCTTATAAGTGGCTGATCTCTCAAGATTCATGGGAGGAAGAGTGAAATGTTGAAGTTTTGCAAAATCCTCATTGTCTAAATTAAATTCTTTCCGTGTTTTCAGTCGCCTGTCTGTATAAGAAAAGTGAAACCTTATCTCTGGTTCTGTTTGGATTTTTTTTAACTGTTTGGGAGGAATTCCTAGATTAGTTAAAAAATCTGAAACCAATTAAACCAAAGCCAAAGCATTTCAAAAGCCATCACCAGAAAAATTTCACTGTCCACAGCAGTTTCTGGGAATTGCCATTGTTATTATTGCAAGAAAATAAAAATGTGTTTTCAAAGTGATCAGTCACTTTTATGGGCTTCTCTTAATCTTTTGTCTCTTCAGCTGCTTTTTGCAGTTGGAATGGGAGAGTGAATTATGGTAATTCACAAATTTGCTAATGTTTTCAGTCATAGAACACAAACATATTTTTGGCAGCTGCTTGCCAGCTTTACAGGATTTTCGCTACATAGAGCACGAAAGTAATGATGAAGAAGGGATCTAAGTCAATACTATGAATTCAGAGCACAGAGTGCCAAGATCCTTCAAATCTGGACTGCAGCCAGGATCCACTCCAGGAAAAGAGTACCTGTATTTTTCATATCACACAGAAGTGTACATTTACATGTTCACAGAAATAATTACTTTTGGACCCATTGATTTTAAATATTAACTAATATCACTTTGTGAGCTTATAAAAGGTTTTCTTTTGTAATAAAAAACCCTTTCCTTTTTATAAAAGGTTTCTGATATTCATTTAGAAATTAAAGAGAAAATGTTCTTTTTGTGTGCTCTTTGAATGCAGAGCAAATCCTGTAAGCGCCTGCAGAGGGATCTGGAAAACCTCTCCCGTCTGACTTCTGAATCATTTAAAACGTCTTCACTTTTGTGAATCTGTCCCTCACAACATAGTGACTATTCCACAAAACTCTACATTCAATCAGAGGGCTCAGTATTAATATTTAAATTAATAACATTTAATTGTTCAGATAAAAATAAAACAAGTATAAAAGAGTGTCTCTCACCATTTTCCTGATGGGGAAATTCAATTCCATCAACAGTGCAGCGTCGGAATACCATTTTGTTTTCTGTTAGCGTCCCAGTTTTATCTGAGAAGATATACTGGATTTGTCCAAGGTCTTCAGTAATAGTGAGGGCACGGCACTGGATGGACAAACCTGCTTCTTCATCATACAGGTCAATATCATTGTGAATTAAGAAGACTTGGCCCATCTTGACCAACTCAATTGACACATAAAGAGATATGGGGATTAAAATCTGAAAGAGTTCAAATTCTCATGAGCGGTGAGAAAAATTTCTCTGCTTTCTACCAGAAATGTCCTGGCACAGGCATACTAATGATTTCCAAAGAAACAGTTCTTCCTAGAGACATATTGTAGGACTGATGAAAAATAACTCAGGGGTGAAAAAAAAAATCCTGCACACAATAGCAATGAAGAAACAAAGTGGCAAACATAAGACTAAATTCCTAGAGTACTAAATTCAAAGGTGGGTCTTTCCGAGGATGCCCTTACAAAGCATATTTTCTGGACATAGGATCATGCTTGCTCTTACCCTTCTGAAACTCCAAAAGGATGGACTAGCACAAACTAACACTTAGTGCAGAAAAGTTTCACAAACCATTACTTTTCATACAACACTTCCCACCCACAAGTTTCCTTGCCCTGATATAATAACAGGCAAGGAAGAATGTCCCACTTTAAGATGCACAAATATTCTGTTTCAGTAATGAAGAATAATACCCCAAGGAATCTCTGAGCAGCTCTGAAAGTTATATTCATCTTTTGTTCATATTAAAAGAAATTCTGTCCACTTAAATCTCAGCACTGACCTCAAGAAATCTGAAAATTAAATGTAATTTTTTCCTCACACAATAAAATATTCTTTCCCAATTAGGCTTAATTACACTCACATATGCAAGTATCCTACTCCTAATTTAGCCTCTTTCCTACACCACATGAACCATATCTAGTTATTCCCCACTGGAAAATTGGCAAGTTTTGTTTCACTGCTTTTCTGAGATGTTAAATGGCTTTCTTATTTTGGAATTCTGGATACAGGCAGAAAAAAAAGTTGACATTTGGATGTATATATCTTCTTTATTGCATCTACTATTGTTCTGAGATGTTAAACAGCTTTCTTATTTTGGAATTCTGGATACAGGCAGGAAAAAAGTTGACGTTTGGATGTAAATATCTTCTTTATTGCATCTATTATTGTTCTGAGATAAAGTTATTATACATGTGTTTCCTATCTATATCCTTGTGGGGTTTCAATAGCAAGAAAAAAATCTGCACTTAGAAAGAAAAAAACCAAAAAACATTATTTCACACTTAGATGATTTGAAACACTCCTAACAGTATTTTCAAACAGGATTAAGGCAGCACTGCATAGCTATTAGTTGATATTAATTGTTCATTAGTGATTATACTAAATTTTGAGTGGCTTCTTCCTTGGAGGTAAGAGAGGTTTTTGTCTTTTACCTGCAACAGGATTATCATTGTCAGAAACATGTAGAAACCGGCAAGAACTGGAGACACAAAATTGCCATTCTTATCTGGGACATCATAAGGTGGATGCTGCCAAAAGTTTCCTGTCCAAATGCCATGCCCTGTAGGAATGAGATACAAATGGAATCTGCTGAGCAGTGAAATGAGTGACAAAGCTTCTGAAATGTGCAGATATGGACTGCTCTGCTAATAAAACAAAGAGCATTTCCAAAACAATGCTCCCCCAAGCAATGCTGGAAATCTTTCGGAGAATCCAGAGCTCTGTAGTACATGCACATAATTGATATGCTAGTGAGAAATAAGTATTCAGGGATATTTTCATTCACCTCTGCTTCATCAGGTGTTTCCATGGCTCTTAGCTCTGCACAGATCTTTTCTAATTCTGCATTGCCCCGCTGGAAGACTATCTATAAAAATCCTCAGAGCCGAAGACTCTCTTCCCTCTAACAGAAGTAAGCCTTAGAACCTTTGTATACAGACAAACTGAAATATTTCTTATTCTTCCTGACCTTTCTTGATTTCAATCTGTCTTTGTTAGAAGTTGACAAACGCCCTAGATTCAGTCTGGACAACTTATCTTTACATTCCTTCAATTAAATAATATATCAAACTGCTTCTTCCTCAGCCTTTTAAATACCAATAGATATCATTGCACTGCTACAACAAAGTCTCTGTTCCAGGACTTAACAACATCCCGTAAAAATTGTTTTACCACTTTCCATATAGTCCTTATTGAAATAGACTTTTGTCAAGGAGCAAAAGCTGTCCACAGAAGCCAACAACTTGGTTTCCCTCACTGCATCATTTGTCCAGACACCAAAAACCTCTATTAGTCCACTTCACATATCCAGCTCAAATAAAATTTCCATGAGCACCAGTTAATCAAGCAATTGTTTTGCAGCATCTGCCTACTAAAATGCTGTCAAAAATAATCAAATTATTTCAGAAATGCTCTTTGGCTGCTTCAGACCAGAGTCACATCTAAACAAGAACAACTCTGCTGTACACGCCAGTTCTTACCCCAGTTTATCACTGTGTGCAAGAATAATCCTGATAATTTATCCACCAGTGATACTTTTTCCTAGAACCCTACATTCAGACAAGGCTGAATGAGCATGACAAGGCTGCAAGAAGCATGGTAGAGCCTCGGGACATTTTGGAGGGATGAAAGAAATTGGACTTTTTATTCTTCTACGTCTTTCACTTAGGCTATGTATTTCTTTTTAACCTGAGCATATAAATTATTTTTTAAATGCTGACTTTTTTTCCTCTGAGACTTCTTTTAACCTTAAATTGAAGGACTTCATTACTCAAGAACCCTACACACCAGACAAGGCAAATTTCTAAATCCATGTGACAGCAGTCAGGGAACAAGGAAAATAAAATCTCTCCCTCATACAGAGCTCAGTTGTGAAACTGAAATCCCATTTTGATGCCAAAAAGGCCCACTGCAACATGAAGCAGTAATACTAAAGAAGTGAGCAAGTCAGTTTATTTTTCATCTGTTTTGGATGGTCCTCACTTCCCATGTCATTACACTTGATGACTGACTGGTGTGCCACATCACATACCTCCACGGCAGGCACAGGAAAACTTGATTTTGCTGTCACTTAATCAGAGCAGTAGCACTAAGCAAGTTGTCACTGAAACAAAATCCATTAAAAGAAAAAGGGGCTCATGGCAGCCCCTGTTATCTCTTTAAAGCATTGCCCCACTCAAAAGTCAGTAGACTCAAAATTTGGTCCTTTGCTCCAAATTATGAGATCCTATTAATTCTGGCCTGCCTGGGACAAATTGCAGTCAGAGCTGGAAGGCAAGCAGGTGCTTTTACGCAGTGAAGATAATATTTTTGAGATTACCTATGCAGTAAACACCAGTCAGTTAACAAACACCAGTTACTAAATTACACTAAATCACATGTGCTCACCTGCAGGGACCTCAGAAAAATGCAGGCTATTCCAATGTAAGCAATTATTCCATTTCACAGTAAAGGGAAGGAAGGAAGGAAGCCATGGAGGATTCAAACTGAATGAATTAGTTATGAGCAGCTCATGGGTTCTAAATCGTGTGTCTCTGTTTAATATCACTGCCAAACATATTAGAGGAAGATGCTACTGAAATGAAAGTAAAGCAAAATCATTTTACTTTTGCTCTTATGCACAAGGAACAGACACCCCCTCAGGAAGCACTCAGGAATGAAGGAAGATCTCAGCTGACAAATACCGATTCCTACAATGCAGTCACAGGATGGCTTTCTGTTGCTTTACATGTATCATACTATGGTGGGGATGAATCTTATCTGAAACATTTATAGCCATATTGTCTTCATCCGAATTGCGCAAATTTGCCATTTTAACTCACCTATTGGAAAGGCCAAGGAGCCTAAAAACCTCAAGAGCATTCAGCTGCAAATCTCACTCATGTCTATAACATCAATTTTAGTCACCATTTAGGAAAAAGATTTTTGTCAGTGCTTCATACCTACAGCTCCAACAAGGCACATCACAAACAGGAGTCCCACACATATGAAAATATCCATATTCATCCGCTGCTCTATCCTGCTGCGCTTGTAACGAGGGCCGCTGTTATTTAGCATGGCCTTTGTTTCATGACCTTCAAAAGACAAATGAATGTTATCATGTATATGCAATATTTTGTATTTTGGTTTTGTTTTTTAACAAGTATCTCTCCCCACATAAGAGCAGGATGACTAATGTTGACATTCAGAACTTTTCTTGTCCATCTTTCTATTTGACTACATCAGGGTCTAAATCTTGAAGTTTACCAAAAATCTCCATTATATCACTGGTTTCAGCTGTCATATACATTTTCCTGTCCCAATCACAGCAGGTTTAGTATGATCATAAGTTTTACATAAATTATCAAAAGTCAGATATCCATGAGAAGAGAAAGAAAATGAACAATAGTATTATATTTTTACATATTATGAACAAATTGTTTAGGTGCTATACAGATTCCTGAAACCTACATTTGAATATTCAGCAATTCAAAAGCTATTAGATAAATTTTGTATATTAAATAAAATTCAACAAGTCAGTGAAAACCAATAATATTTGGCTTTTCACTATTTGGTTGTAAAGTGCTGAAAAAACAGCAAGATGAGAAATTTTAAAAAGTCCAGTCCTTAAACTTAGTGAGTTAGAATTGAGCTGCTATACTAATAATGAAAAAAGAAGAGTGCTGCAAGAATTCAAGAAGCAGAAATTAGGTTTTCAATTCTATTAATGTTATCTAAACTGTGGCTCCATAACAGGGATATCTGGACACCATCTGTTGTTATATTGAATTGTATCTTTTATGTTTATTTCTGCAGTCCTTTTCCCTGAAAATACAGACCCTGTAGACTTTTATTTAATTTTCATTTGTATATGCATGATGTGCATGACAAGGATTGTTTTCCAAGATGCTTTTTAGCTTTCTCTTGGGAAGTGATTTAACCTAAAACCTGGAAATTAGGTGCAGTTCAATCACACCTGCTGGGTTAATTCCAGGTTTATTCCAGCAGTTATTGATTACGAAGAGAGCTAGAGAGAAAATTACTCTCCAGCCTTATGTTCAGAACATTTGCTCAAGAGCTGGGGCTCCTGGCTTACTATTCCAATGAATATATAATTATTTACACAACCTAGAGCTGTGTCAGTGGGACCAGTTTATACGCCCAGTGCTCCTGCCTTTTCAACTCACACAAGTACAAACCCTCTTGTTCCACTTAGGCAAGTATTCAGTGTACAGCTTGTTAAGCAGGAAATGTGTGTTTACTCCCATACAGGCATAACTGGGAACAAATCCTAAGCCTTCCTTTTGGTGAACAAAATCTCTTAACCACCAAGCTACACTGAAAGGGAGGGCACTGCTGTTTGCATTTCTGTTCCTCCAGCAGCTGTGTGAATCTTACTCCTCATTTTTCTTTTATGTCAGGTATAATGGAATGCTTTGTATTGAAATACAAATAAGCCAAAGCCCTCTAATCCCTCCCAGAAAACCCTTAAGGAAGTGTTGATGAATTTATTTCAGGAAGAAATTGTGATGAGCTTCTTTCCAAATATCAGTTCTATCATTCCTTTCCACTTCAGGTGATCATCAGGAAAAGGACACTTCACAGTTACCACCTTGTAAGGACAGAAAATCAGAAATATGAAGCATAAACTGTTTTCTCGTTTAATCCTCACACTTTCCTATGCTGTGAAATACAGCACCTCACCTACCACCCCAATGGTACCTTGTCTCTCTATTTCTAGATGCTGATGGACTCATCTAAAACTTCGTTCTGGTACTTTAGTACATGAAAAGCATATAATTCTTACTGCTGTGCCAATCACAATGAGAAAACTACATTGGCTGTCACTCTGTAATGAGGTTTTTGTGTTTTAGTGCTATTGCTTTGTCTAGAACAATTTGGGTAACCATGGGTCAGATGAGAACTGAATAGACCAAGCAATCTCATTAAGAAATGACTACTCCTCACAAAGGCTTCCATTAGAATAAAGTTTGAGGAGTAATAGAATCATAAAAATACAAAGTGTGCTATCTTATTATGTGACTGATCTTGATCAGAAAAGGTCACAGACCATGATTAAAAGCCAGAGTATAATCAATATCAAATAATCCTAGAAATGAACCTGATACTGACTGAAGCCAGTCTAATTTTAGGGGAAAAAAACGCCCACTTTTATGCTGACACTAACAATAAGAACTCTGTTCATATGAAAACCAGCATGGCTTGGGAATAACTTTAAAACTCCAACCTTTGCTACTGGCAGCTTAGGCAACATAAATGGAGATCCACATTAGGATCTGTGCTAGTGGTCAAGGGACCATATTGGGAAATCTGAGCTAAACAGAAGAAAATTAGGAACTGCAACAGGACAAAGGAAGATAAATTACTCCAATTATATCAGGAATGATCCCTACTGAGAATTTTATACATCAGCTACTTTGAAAAAAAAAAAAAAAGGTTGCTGTGTTTGGCTCTGACTCTCCTCCTCTGCCTGGTGGGCACCACCTTTTGCATGTGGTATTCACAGAGACATGCAATGAAAGATCTGCAAAGCTACTTTGGAAACATGGGAGCTTCAGACATTTGGAGTCTAGTTGTGTAGAGTGAAATAGACAGTCTGTTGACAGGTAAATTTTTCTGGGCTGTGGAGCTTAATCTAAGATAAATTACTCTTGTAAAAGTGTGGCTTCTCTTTTCTCTTAGGTGGCTCAACCCTGTACCGCTTGCTGCTGATTAGACATAAAACAGTTAATATAACTCTACTAGAAAGATAATAATAACTAATAGGATTAATTGTTGTGTTTGAATTGACTTTCATTTAATCTACAAAGAAGAGGGTAGCTGATACACTCTGACGCCAAAGAGGGAATAGCTAGCAAATCCAATGATAAATCATTCTTACTGAGTAAAAGCACTGGTAACACTCCAAAGATAAAAGATGCCAAGAAACAAATTAATTGACCCACTGCTGAACCTGGCAGTGCTGCATTTGATCTGGGCACTAACACTGTCTTTCTTTGCCCATGCGTCTCCTGCATGAAGATCACGGTTGCATAGACACACTATGCTTGTGTCAGCAAAACCCTATACTGCTGCTACCTTTTCTGTCACATCCAGATGCTGCCTGCCTCCTGCACACTGGCACAGACGGAATGGATGAATGAGATTCAGAGATGACCTTTTTTTTCTAATTAGATCTTCAGCTGATCCAGTTTCTACCCCAAGGAGCCAGTGAGACCTTCCTTAGGGCAGCTGAGTAGATTTTATGACAGATGGAATTAGTAGTATAGCCAGAGCTGAGAGTTAAATACATCTGAGCAATTTACTTGTCTGAATATTTTTACAAGATATTTGACATGCACTCAATTGAGTATGCACGATACTGTCACTTGCCAAAGACCAAGTACAAGACTTGCTAGCTTTGGAGATGGATGAATAAGATCTTCACTTAAAAAAAATTTATATACTTTCTCTGTGCACTACCAGTTTTTAAAACAATATGTCAAATTATGTTGCAATATTAGACTACGCCTATTTTTTTTAAGATATTTACAGGGAAACTTGCAGTTTACCTAAGTAAAAATGTGTCTTACCTGCATATATAACAATTCCTACTGCGGCCTCAGTATTTCTGATTGTACATCCACGAAGCAAGAGGTTTTCAATGTTGAAACCTACCTGTTCATGGTTTGGCTGCTCCCTAGAAGAAATACCATCAAATAGAGCAATTAATTTTTCTGTTCTAATGGAGTGTTAAAATTTTTGTGCATAAATCTCAAATTTCATGTTGAAATCAAGTAATTTTGTAGGTCCAATTTTGCTTTTATTTCCCTCAGTTTCAAGGAAGACTCCAGAAAAAAGTTACAGAGAAGTCTGTGTCTTTCTTTTAAAGACCACTTGCACTGTGTGCGTCATGATGCTGACACAGAGCAAGTTCGGCTTTCACTTGGAACCTTATCTGGCCAATTATGAAAGAAAACAAGAGTCATTTTGCAACTTCTTACAAACGAATTTATTTTAGAAAGATAAGTAGAGGTTCAGACCAATACATATACACCCTGCAAGACCCTCTGTCACTTTATCAGCCACCAAAGGTCTTTGTGAAACTCAGTTCATTCAAGCAGTCTTCAGGCTGAGGAGCACTTCCTTATTCTCATTCTGGATGGAAGGCTTTTCATCCTGAGTAAAGATGCCCCATCACATACCAGATCCTTCAGCTTGCAGAACTAGTGAAAACCATAAAGTTGGTGCTCCATCAAGGCAGGTAATTTGTTACTTGCCTAGGAAAATTAATGGCACATATCTACCTCTACCCACAGCTTTTATTTTACACTGATAGAATCAGCTTTGGTAAAGAGCTGAGGAGGAATCTATTTCGGGTACTTTGTCTTGTTTTTTATGTAAACGTCAGGATGGGAAAAAGACTTTTTTTCCTAGAATAATCATCTCTTGCTACTTTCTATTTGGTATTTTGCATTTCATTTCCATTTCATTTAAATAGTCTCATCTCTCAAATGAAGGACAAGGCTAGGTGTTATATCAGAGCTAAGTACTGTCCTATGTCTAAGTGCAGCTGCACATGATTACATAATAAACTAGACAAGGAAAAATGTGTAGGTGCCAACAATCTACAGCTGATGGAATTGTAAAAACATAATGCCAGAAATCTGTTTTTCATGGAATCTAAACTGAGCCTTGGGAAAGTCATTTAATAGAAGCCTTCTTGCATCCCCTTGAACAGAATTTTCTGACATGTCAGATGGATGTCACTTAAGTTATTTCTTATCATTTTAAACAGAGAGTGCTCCTGCTATTCTATAGCAAAGCAATAGAGCCTCAATAATTTATTAAGGGTTCTTGGAGAAAAAGGTAGCCTGCTCCAAGTAATTTGTATTTACAAAATAACTCAAATCTCAGCAGACCAAAGACAGAAACTCCACTAACTCTCAGCAAGTAGTTTTCCCCAACAAATTCTTTCTTCTGTCTGGGAAGAGGGGAGAGAAAGGCAGCGAATTCCATGTTCCACCAAGCAAGTCAGATAATAGGCATTCACCAAAGAGAGCTCTGTTGCAGATTTTCAGTTGAGAGTTGAATATTCTGAAGCCAGTCCTGGGTCCTAAGGTTGTGTACTTGTGTGTGTTTTCTTGTGACATAACTCCAACATTTCTATAATCACAGTGCTCTTTGCTAATTGGAGGGATTTTTTCAATTTAAATTATACCCAGTAGTCCCTGAAGCCAACAACCACAGCCAGGAATCAATACAAACTTGACCTCTTTATCCCTTGTAAGATATTGCAGCAGAGGAGAAATGGTATTACTATTAGAGGCACCATTCTTACAGAGCACAACCTCAAAACCAGATTAGATAAGGTCTGGCTTACTCTGTCAGAGAGCCGGCCATTTGCAGCTCCTCCAGGTACAACATTCCCGCTGCTTCTTGCAGAGCCATTAACTCCTAGTTTAGGTACAAGCTACTAGTTACTACTCCAAGTTTAGCAAAGCTGGGGAATGGATGAGGATACTGGCAGATTCATGCAGTTAAATTATTTGCATAATAATGGAGCATGCATTTGGTCTGGAGCAGTAGGTATTTTGTTCAATTCTCTGCTGTGGGAATAAGCTGAAGAGGTCCTCGGGAAAGGCTGCTCTGTATTGGAGGGTAAGAGAATTTTAAGACATGAGCCATGACATAGAAATTTGCCTTATAATACGTAAATGAGGTTAAATCTACTGAATTTGCTGTTCTGCCAATGCCAGAATTATTTAATGAAGAAAGACAAGACAGAAAAATATCCTATGTTTTGTGCTAGTCTAGTGCATTGGTTCAATAGCATTTTGCATGCATGTTTGCTTTTTCTACCTTGCTAATAAGAAGAAACTCTGGATTGTTTATTAGATCTTGGACACTGTTGGGGGTTGAATGGTTCCCTTTGCTTTCTGTGGAATTTCTCCCATCATTATGCTAAGTAGTTGTGGCTACACCTTCAAACAGTAATGTTCTCTTGCAGGGGTGTGGGTGGAGCTGGGGGGAGGAGGGAGACCAGAAAAGGAAAGGTGGGACAGGGGTCTGGAGCAGGCTGGGACTCTCTCTCATTTGGCTCGTGGTCTGAGAGGACACCCTGTGCTCCGATCTGTCATCTCCCCTGCCATCCCAGCACTGAGATCCACTCTCCCTGCCACTGGACATCGCTCTGCTGCTCTCCCTCCTCACCCTACTACCTCTGGACATTCTGCTGAGTACCATGACCGACACCGTGAGGGGGGCAGTCACTCCCCCATCCCTTCTCAGCCCTGGGCTGCAGCCGCCATCACTCCAGCCCTCTTCAACTGCGCCGGCTCTGCCCTGCCCCCAGCAGCGGTAACTGAGCACAGGGAGACAGCCTGTGGCCAAAAGGGACTGGAACTTAGCTATACTGTTCTGTTTTCAATTTCTGTTGTCAATTTTTATAGCTGTTGTTGTTTTCTGCCTTGTTAGATATCAGTAAAGAACTGTTATTCCTATCCCCATATCTCCCGCCTGAAGGCCTCTGATTTGAAACTAAAGTAATTAAAAGGGAGGGGGTTGCACTCTGCATCTCAGGAAAGGGGTTCTCGCCTTTCCTTAGACCATACCTGTCTTTCAAACCGAGACA